AACCTTTCATTATTTATTTTAAAGCTCGCATCATCGTACAAAATTCGGTGATAGTACTTAATCTTTGAAACGTTTATGGATGCCTTCAAGATGTGTAATGTGTTTTCTTGCTTCTTAATCAAATACCCCAAAAAAAGCAATAGAGAATTTTGATTGTATCCTGATGTTTTGTTGTTTTTGAAGCCACCTACTGTACCTTCTTGCCCAGAGAATGTTCCTTCCATACACAGAGAACAGTCGTAGCAGCAAACTGGGGATCCCTCTCTCACAAGCTTGGCATAATCTGTGGAGCAACTTTCTGTCCATCTTGAATGAGGCACCGTCTAAACATAAAGCAAACGATTAATCAGGGCAATATATGAATTAGAGGCAATATATATAGGGATGCGGTGGCTCAGTGGTTAAGACGTTGAGGTTGTCAATCAGAAAGATCGACAGTTGGGCGGTTTTGAATCCATAGCACCACGTAATGAAGTGAGCCCCCATTATGTGTTCCAGCTTCTGCCAACCAAGCAGTTCGAAAGCATGTAAAAATGCAAGTAGAAAAATAGGGACCACCTTGTTTCGAAGGTAACAGCATTCCACGTGCCCTCAGTGTTTTGTCATGCCAGCCACATGACCACAGAGACATCTTCAGACACTGCTGGCTCTTCGGCTTTGAAATGGAGATGAACATCAAGCCCTAGAGCCAGAAATTACTAGCTCGTATGTGTGAGGGGAACCTTTACTTTTAAACATAAACCACAAGATTAATATGAATTAGAAGGATTTACTGAAATCAACTGGCTTCCAGAAGCTCAGGAGCACATTGAGCAAAATCAGTCAAGTGGCATGAACTTTAATTACTCTACTTGCAAGGGGCAAATGAAGGGTCATTCTCTTTCCTCTATCAATCTCCATTATACATTCCAAACAGATTTCTTGCCTTATTCCTTTTTTCCAAAGGAAAGTAGTTCCATTGCAAAAGGTGTTTCTCCTTAGGGCATGTATGAGAATGCTATAACTTGTATATATTTTTTTCCATCTTAGCTTTCTCAGGAAAATCTAGCTTTGTCTAGAATCCCTATCTTTCTCTCCTACAACTGGTCATTGTATCATCATATGTAAATGACTTTTTTAGCTGCCCTCATTTCCCTCACCACATTCTTAATGATATCTTCCTCTTATGCAATTCAGTAGGCTTAACCCTTCCTATTCTGGATTTTCTTCCAAAGGTGCTTTTTTTCAAAAGACAACTGATCTTTGTTTTCCCTTGAAGATGTTTCACTTCTCATTCCAGAAGCTTCTCCAGTTCTGACTGAATGGTGGCGTTTGGAAGGATTTATATTCCTTACAGTCATCTGGTCATCATCAGTCTTTCTGAAAGTTGTTGAGGCCCCTTGGGATTTATCTCTGCACTCAGGGTCACGTGAATAGTGCAAATGGGTGTGGGACTTTCCTACAATTACTGAATCAATATCCTGTTTACAACACAGTCTTTTCAGCAGTTCCAAATCCTTCCATCCTTCACCATTCAATTAGAACTGAAGAAGCTTCTTGGGTGAGATGTGAAACATCTTCAAGGGAAAACAAAGTCCAGGTTCCTTTTAAAAAAGCACCTTTGGCACAACTGTGATCTGGATGACTGAGAATCTCCATAGACATTCTGAATTTTCTGTTACTGAAAACAGGATAATTTGATATACTATAAATTATGGCAACATATTCCAGTTTAATAATGTAGATTGCAAATTCCGCAATACAATGCAGCAGGTTCCAGTGTGTGACAGATTATTTTAAGACCTCTAAAGTAAAATGATATCTAATAAATTAATGAGGCTTTAAGTTCTTTTAGTTGGAAGTTATCTCAATTGGTCTCAATAAGAATTATTTCTTAGCAGAAAATTTATACATATGGAGAAAAATAGAACAGCAAAACCCAAGCAGCCTCAATTACGTTGTTAAATAAAGTTGGCCATTGGATGGCACTTTGATTGACCGAAATCTTGATTTCTGAGGAGGATTGGCTTTCTACACTCCCAAGTTTCACCCCCACATCTGATTTGTTCAAAACCGATATCCAGTGCATGATATCAAAGTCACGAACAGGAACTCCATTTTCATAAAAAGAAATCCCATCTTTGGAAATATTGTGATGTTGGAAGTTCCTCAGGAACCTATGAAGCTGCAGGAACATAGAAAAACCTATTACAATTTGAGCCTTTATTCAATGTTCTTCTTGCTCTTATTCTGGATTGGAGGTATTCTGAATAATTCAATCTCTTGAAATCATCACTACAGTCTGAAAGAGATTTCATGGGAAGCTTCTTTCAGGCTTTCTCCAGGAATTTACAGCTCTTTGTTAAATATTGATCTCAAATTCTTGAAAACATGGAATAGATAACACCACCATCAGGTGGCTTTGTAACTGGCTGACAAATTATATTCAACATGTAGTCTTCTGGGAAACCTCATCCACTTGGAGGGAAGTAAGTAATGGGGTACCCCAAGCTTCCATTTTAGGCCCTGTCCTCAAAAAAGATCTAGGCGAGGGAATTGAAGGGGAATTCATAAAATTTGCAGGCAACACCAAGCTGTCAGTAATAGGCAACACGTCAGAAGACAAGCACAAGATCCAAAAAACATCTTGACAATTTGAACATGGGCCCCTACCAAACAAAATGCAATTAAACATAGATAAAAGTAAGGTTTTCCACTGAGACAAGAAAATGGATCATGCCCAGTATTTCCTAGTCGAACCACAGACAACTACAATGATCTAATACATATCGATTTTACAGTAGACAATGTTGAAAAAGCACTACACAATCTAAAACCATCTCTATCTATTGGACCAGATGGAATATGTGCCTATTTCTTTAAAAAGTTATCCACTGCCATACCCGAACCTCTAAGCATAATCTTCAAAAAATCTTTCAGGACCAGCTCCTTGCCAAAACTATGGTCACAAGCCACAGTCATCTCCATCTTCAAAAACGGAGACCCTAGCCTAGTTGAAAATTACAGACCAATCTCTTTATGCTGCGTCACCTGTAAAATCATGGAACCAATTATTAACCAATCCATTATCCTCCACTTAGAGAAAAACAACCTGCTCTCTAATAAACAATTTGGTTTCAGAAAAAAACTATCCTGCAATCCGCAACTCTTTCACTGCAAAAACATATGGACTACACAACTCAATCAGGGCAAAGCAATAGACGCAATCTACATAGACTTCTGTAAAGCCTTTGATTCAGTGGTACACCACAAACTACTCCTAAAACTAAAAACTTATGGTATCTCTGGACACCTGCATAACTGGATAGAAGCATTGCTGTCAAACAGACATCAAATGGTCAAAATTGGGAACGTCCTATCAAATTCTGTAGCTGTCAACAGTGGTGCCTCCGAAGGCAGTGTTCTTCATACTCTAAATAAATGACCTCTGTGATCATATTAAGATCAACTAAGTTCTCTTCGCTGATGATGTAAAGCTATTCAATACCACAGACAATATTACCACCCTTCAAAAAGACCCTGACTATGTATCAGAATGGTCAAACAAATGGCAACTTCAAATCTCGAGAAATAAATGCTCTGTCTTACATATTGGCAAAAAAAACCAAAAACAAAAACAAAAAAAAACCCCAGAAAATAAAATACAGTCTGAATAGTAAAGACCTTGTTGATGATCCAAACTCTGTCAAGGATCTTGGAATATTCATCTATAATGATTTTAGTGATAGAGCCCACTGTAACTACATAGCCAAAAAGGCATTAAGAGTTGTTAACCTAATCTTACATAGCTTTTTCTCTGGTAATATTACACTACTAACGAGAGCATACAAAACATTTGCTAGACTAATACTCGAATACAACTCTTCAGTCTGGAACCCACATTACATACCTGATATTAACACAGTTGAGAAACTCCAAAAATATTTCACAAGCAAAGTTCTCCACTTCTCTACTTGTTCCAGAATACCTTATGCCACCAATGCCCCCTTAGTTGGTCGACATGGCAGCGCCAAATGCGACCGTCTTGCAATTGGACCCTGTAAGACTTAGGACCGGTTACTGCCACAATCCACCCAGGCATCCACAAAGGGTGACCTGCATAGTTCCTAGCATAGACCTAGTCAGTCTCAGCAAACTTCCTAGTCTGGCTATTTGATCCCAGGGGTGTGACTGGGGTGTAATTTGGATGGAGTCTGTCTAGAGTAGATCTCAGATGGTGACCCATGAGGAGTTCAGCTGGAGACCATTTGTGGTGGCACAGGGAGTCGTATGCTGGGTTAGGAGGTACTTAGCAAGTCTGGAGTGCCAATCTATGGGCCCAAGCATCTCCAGGACATCCTTAGAAGATCTGACTGCCCTTTCAGCCAGACCATTACTGGTAGGGTGAAAAGGAGCTGTTAGGGCGTGTCTGATTCCTTGGTTAGCTAGGAAAACCTCAAATTCACAGGAAGTAAACTGGGGGCCGTTGTCAGACACAATGGTGTCAGTGAGGCCATGGGTGGTGAATGTTCTCATCAGGGCCTTAATGACAGCTTCTGAAGTTGTGGAGGTCATTAAAGTCAGCTCTACCCATTTAGAAAAAGAATCAACCATCACTAAGAATGTTCGCCCATAAAAAGGGCCAGCCAGATCAATATGCACCCTGGACCAGGGCCCCCCTGAATCTTCCCATGTTCCTGGAGAGGATGCTGGTGGAGAAGGTCTGGTGGCCTGGCATGGCTGACAAGCATTCACCCAGCTAGTAATCTGAGCATCCATGCCGGCCACCATACATAACTGCGAGCTAGAGCCTTCATCCTGACAATGCCAGGGTGACCCTCATGCAGGACTTCTAAAACTGAGGTCTACAACTGGGAAGGTGTGCTCTACCCTGGTCCCCAAATAAAGCAGCCTTGCAAAGAAGACAATTCTTGCTGGCAAATTGTGAAAGGCACGAATTTGGAAGAATAAGGGGCTGTAGGCCACCCCCTTACCACCCAGTCAAGGTCTTGGGAAATTACCTTGTCCTTGGCAGAGTGGGCAGCAATATCTGAGGTGGTGATAGGAAGCTTGAGGTCATTGATTAGGAACACAGCATTGGTTGATGCAGGATCCTCAACTGGAACAGGCAGGGGACAGCGACTAAGGTCATCAACATGGATGAGGCATTTGCCTGCTTGATGAACCATGGTATAGGAATATGCAGCCAGAAATAATGTCCACCTGGTCATTCTTGGAGACAAAATCTGAGGCATTAGTCTGTTGCCTGGCAGAAGACCCAAAAGAGGCTTATGATCTGTAACTAACTCGAAATGGTGTCGAAATGGAATTTCTTGACTGAAGCAACTGAATCCTAAGCCTCTTTGTCAATTTGACTGTAGTTGAGCTTAGCTGGAGATAACGTTCTGGAGAAAAAGGCAATGGGTGCTTCAGAACCATTAGGCAGTCTGTGACTTAAAATGGCTCCTATGCCAACAGGTGATGCATCTGCAAATAAGACTAAGGGCAAATTTTTATTGAATTGAATTAGAACAGCATCAGATGTAAGTAATGATTTGACTGCTTTGAAAACATAGGCTTCCTTAGGTCCCCAATGCCATGGGGATTGTTTGTCCAGGAGTCTATGCAGAGGTTCTGCAATGGAAGACTTATGTGGCAAAAATGAAGCATAGAAGTTAAGGAGCCCACGAAAATCCTGAAGTTCAGTTTTGTTAGTTGGTGTGGGTGCCTTGTGAATAGCCCTTGCTTTGGATTCGATTGGGTGAATGCTAGAGGTGTCAATTCTATACCGTAAAAATTCGACCTGAGGGGTGGCAATAGTGCGTTTCCCTTTTTTCAATTTGAGACCCGACTTTCTGAAACACTTGAGGACACCTCTGACTCTTTGCAGTAACTGTGGCTTGTCAGGGGCAGATATTAAAATGTCATCGAAATAAGGTATTATGCCAGATAACCCTTGAAGCAGTATTTCCATGAATGTTTGGAAAATTCCTGGGGCTATACTAACACCAAATTGGAGGCACCTACACTTAAAATCGCCCCTGTGCATTACAATAGTTTGTAGCTCTGTGGCTGTGTCATCAACAGGGAACTGTTGATAGGCTTGTGATATGTCTAGTTTCACGAAAATGGATCCTGGCTCAAAAGAATGCAGCAGGTGCTGAATAATTGGGACTGGATAAGCGGTGATTTGTAAATATTTGTTTAACAAGCACTTGTAATCAGCACAAATTCTTAAACTGCCATCTTTCTTCAAGGGTGTCACTATTGGGGTTTCCCGTTTTGTGAAGGCCACAGGCTCTAATATGCCCTGTTTAATTAATTTGTCTAGTTTCTTGTCCAGCTTAGGACGGATTGCAAAAGGTACTCTTTGAGGATTTAAACAAATTGGAATTGATAGAGGGTCCAAGTTGAAAGAAATTGGGGTTTCCAAATAACAGCCTAGGCCTTCGCTGAACACATCAGCATAGTCATTGAACAAGGCGTCCACCTCTGAATTTGCAATAGAGTGGATTCCGCCTATATGAAGGCCAAGGGCGGGGAATCAGTCTAACCCCAACAGGTTTGAGAGGGCACCAACCACTAGCACTAAAGGCAAGTGACCGTTAAAATTTTGAAATTGAATAAAAAACTTGCCTTTTTCAGATGACTGGGATGGTTCTGCCTTGGTCGTCGTGTAGGGTTAAGTTGCAGCCTTGAAGACTCTTCTTTGACATCCTGGGGAGCAGTCATTTCAATGTGCTCCACAAGATGATGGACAGTGCTGAGCCGGTGTCTACCTGCATCCTGCAATGTTTCCCTTCTAAAGAAATAATAACACTGATTTTTTTTAGAGCCTTTGATTGTCAGCTTGGCATGGTAGCAGGTGAAACAGTCTTCAATTTGTTTTTGAAAATGCTGAGTTGTCTGAGGTTTCTGTGGTTGGGCAAAAATCTTTCCTGCCTGACAGATGCTGACTAAATAACCCTTTCTCTCGCATTTTAGACAAATGGCATTCGTGAACTTGCAGGATGCCCTAAGGTGATTTCCTCCAAAGCTTAGACAGATGGGTTGAGATCATGGAGGTTGACTGGAAACTGACCTGTTTTCCCTCTGACTGGTTTTGCACTGCCTGAGGAAATTTACATAACTAGTTTCTTCAGAACCTTCCTCTGTGGAGGCTTCATCGTAATGAATGGCTGAGCTGTTCTGACTGACTGGATTTCCCTGAATTTCTGCTGTTGAAAATCCTGCCAGCTCTTCAGCTTGAGATTCCTCTATTGCTAATTTTAGGGTCAAATCCCCTTTAGTCAATAGACGCCTTTGTAGCCTTAAGTCCCGGACTCCACAAACTAGTTGATCTAATAACATGTCCTCCAGATAGTCTCTAAACCCACAGTGCAAGGCAGCTGTTCGTAAAGCTGCCATATACCCACTAATAGTCCCTCGCTCAGCCTGGGTCCATCTCCTAAAAGCATGACACCAGGCAATTCGGGAGGGCTTAGGGGAATAATGGTTAGAAAAAATTTCCTGCAATTCTTCCCATGGAACAGTCTTAATTGAACATGGAGCAAGCAATGCTGCAGCAGTGTCAAACACTGTGGTTCTGCAAAAACTTAAAATGTAAGATTTTTTCCTATGGTTGGAAATGTCAGCGAGGTCTATGGCATCTAGGAAACAGTCAAATCGGTTTCTGTAGGACTCCCATGTCTCTGCTGTCGGTCTGAAAAGCGGGAATGCAGGGTTTGAAGACATCTCATCTCAGCGGTGGCAGTTCTTCTGAGGAAAGTTGAAATTCGAGCTCATGAAGAATGACAATAAGCTCTTAAAGTGACATACAGCTCGGTAGTGGCTTTGGCTATTTTTGTAGTGACTTCGCTCAGCAATTCTTTGCTCTTATATGCATCCCACCCTCCTCGCCAGTGTAGTGGAGTGGCAGAATAACTGAGGCGAATGTGGAGCAAACTTCAGCTTTAACTTTATTGAAACAATAAAGGGTTGCCGCAACTGCCGCGCTAACAAGGCAGCCAGCTCGTAGGCAACAGCTGATGCCGTTTGACAGCTCCCTTTTATAGTCAGCTGTGAAACGAATCAGCCAATAGGAACAGTCCGTGTTCCGGCGAGAAGCACGGCCCGGAGTGAAGACTTCAGCTCAGTCTTTTCAGAACGCAACAATAACAATACAAGACCAAACAATAGACACAAACTCAAGGTAAACCACACCAAACTTGATTGCAGAAAATATGACTTCAGCAACAGAGTGGTCAATGTCTGGAATACTCTACCTGACTCTGTCGTTTCTTCCCCAAACCCCAAAAACTTTAACCTTAGACTGTCTACTATTGACCTCACCCCTTTCCTAAGAGGTCTGTAGGGGGCGTGCATAAGCGCACCAATGTGCTTACCTTCCCTGTCTTATTTTTTTCTTTTTTTCCCTTATTCCTATCCATTTTATGTATTCATAAGTATGTTTATAGTTATATCTGTTATCTTATAATTGCATCACAAAATAAATAAAAAACATCCCTGAAAACGAAACATAACACCAACCTATATAGCAACAAAAACACACATTATTAGCCATAATCTTTAATTTAGTCTAAAACCATATCAGAACATATCTGGTAACAGTTTATCCAGCCTGGTTTCAGAAATTTTATTAATGTCATTGATGATAGTGATGCTTTAACAGGAATTCAGATTGTGACAATAGAAAGATATGATTAATTGAAATAGTTTGAATTGTTTGGGAACATTACTACTCAATTATTATAATTCAAAATGCACACAGAATGAAGAAAAATAAGTGAGAATACATAAAACATTACTTCAGGATATGTGATTTTATACTGGATGTAAACTGAACAAAAATAAACACCAACACAAGGAGCCTTAATGAGATTTCATCATCAGATGTTCCTTGGTGTTTATGTCAGGTCTCAGTGTAATAATGTAGCACTTGGGAACAAAAATACAACCCAATAAACCAAGGCTGGAGGCCAAGATGGAGAAGATCTGCACAGCCACCATGTATTTCCCTTTGGTGCTCAGGTAGCTGGGAACAAAGGAGATCCAAACGCTACAAAAAACCAACATGCCGAAAGTGATCAGTTTGGCTTCATTGAAGGTCCCTGGCAGATTTCGAGCCAGAAACGCCACCAAGAAACAGATGGCAGCCAGAAAACCCATGTAGCCAAGGGCAGTGTAGAACATGGCCACCGAACCTTCGTTGCACTGCAGCAGGATGTCTTCTGGCTGGGAATGAAAGTCAGAATCTGTGAATGGGGGAAAGATTCCCAGCCATGTCATACAGATGCCTACTTGAATACCAGAGCAGGATAAAACAATCGAGTGGGCCAGACCCTTCCCCAGCCATTTCCTCATCCTGCTTCCTGGCTTTGTAGCCAGGAAGGCCACCACCACCATTACAGTCTTGGCCAGGAAAGAAGATACGGCAACAGAGAAAACAATACTGAAAATGGTTTGTCGAAGGAGACAGGTCATTTTCATGGGGCGACTGATGAATAGAAGGGAAGTCAAGAAAGAAAACAGGAGAGAAACCAGGAGGACGTAGGTGAGTTCACGGTTGTTGGCTTTGACTATGGGAGTTTCTTGGTATTTAATGAAGATTCCCAGAATAAAGGCAGTGGTTAGGGACAAAGCAATAGCAAAGAAAGTCAGGATGAGTCCCAATGATTCTTCATAAGATAAGAAGCTTATGCCTTTGGGGACACACTGATCCCGTTTCTTATTGGAATACTGGTCATCTGGACACTTTTCACAATGGGCTGCATCTGAAAAAAAATTTGTTAGTGCGTATCTCTTTCTGCTGCTGTAGGAGCATGAAAACCGCATCAGAAATCAATTATTTCATTTTCAAGGAATATAATATTTCTGCCCAGGGATATTCATATGACATGACATTAGTTAAAATAACCAACAACCTTTTTAAAGGCTGAAGATGAATGTGATTATCAGCTCTCAGAACTTGTCCTCTTTCCCAAAACCAAGTAAGAAAGTAACACAACAATAGATTATTTTAATGCTTGCATCATCATACAAAATTCGGGGATAGTGCTCAATCATTGAAATGTTTGTGGATGCCTCCAAGATGTGTAATGTTTTTTCTTGCTTCTTGATCAAATACCCCAAAAAAGCAATAGAGAATTTTGATTGTATCCTTTTTGTTTTTGAAGCCACCGACTGTACCTTCTTGCCCAGAGAATGTTCCTTCCATACACAGAGAACAGTCGTAGCAGCAAACTGGGGCTCCCTCTCTCACAAGCTTGGCATAACCTGGGGAGCAACTTTCTGTACATCTTGAATAAGGCACCGTCTAAACATAAACCAAAAGATTTATCAGGGCAATATATAAATTAGAGGCAATATATAAAGAGACGTGGTGGCTCAGTGGCTAAGACGCTGAGCTTGTCGATCAGAAAGGTTGGCCATTGGGCAGTTTGAATCCCTAGCACCACGGAATGGAGAGAGCTCCCATTACATGTCCCATGTTCTGCCAACCAAGCGGTTTGAAAGAACGCAAAAATGCAAGTAGAAAAATAAGGACCACTTTGGTGGGAACGTGCCAGCATTCTTTGCACCTTCAGCATTTATTCATGCCAGCCACATGGCCACGGAGACGTCTTCTGACAGTGCTGGGTCTTCAGCTTTGAAATGGAGATGAGCACTGTCTCCTAGATCCAGAAACGACTAGCACGTATGTGCAAGAGGAACCTTTAGTTTTCAACATAAACCACAAGATTAGTATGAATTATAAAAGTTTAGTGAAATCAACTGGCTTCCAAAAGTCAGGAGCACATTGAGAAAAATCTGTCAAGAAATAGTGGCATGACCTTTAATTACTCTACTTGCAAGGGGCAAATGAAGAGTCATTCTCTTTCCTCTATCAATCTCCATTATACATTCCAAAACAGATTCATTGCCTTATTCTTCTTTCCAAAGGAAAGAAGTTCCATTGCAAAAGGTGTTTCTCCTTAGAGCATGTATGAGAATGCCATAACTTGTATATATTCTTTCTCCATCTTAGCTTTCTCAGGAAACCTCCAAAATCTAGCTTTCTCTAGAGTCCCTATCTTTCTCTCCTACAACTGATCATTGTATCATCATATGTAAATGGCTTTTTTTAGCTGCCCTCATTTCCCTCACCACATTCTTAATGCTATCTTCCTCTTATGCAATTCAATGGGCTAAACCCTTCCTATTCTGGATTTTCTCTCCAAGAAGCTTTTACAAAAGACAACTGATCATTTAACTGACAACTGATTTTGAATCATCAGATTATTACTAATGCTGGGAATGTTGGTATGACTGGATAGAATAAAGATGGGAAATATATTGGTAAATAATGTTAACTGTAAAGGAGGTAGTAATTACATACTCACAATAAGATGTTCTGACTGAATGGTGG